CAGGACAGGCAGTTTTTTTGTCTGGGTTCACCTCCTGAGCTCCCAGTGAATGCCCCTTCCCACCTGTTGCTGGTGGAGTTCTGGCTGCCAGTGCAGTTCAGATTACCATTCGCTGAATGCTGCTGGGCTATCAGCTACGGCAACAGCACACCATTGTGTCCACTGCTTTCCCGTGTCTGTCAATCTTCAGATATCCCTCTGCTGCTGTTTTGTCCTATCCTAGTTCTTGGAATGTGCCCTCTCTGCTTCACCCTAGCAGATGTTTCTCCATCTCTTTAGACATGTCTTTACCTCAATCCACCTTCTTGATTTCCAGCGAGCCTTTTTTGACAATGTGTTTTTAAAATTCTGCTGCTGGCAATAATAAACTTTGGCCATCTGCCTGTCACAGTAGTCCAGGCGTGTTAGTATAGGCTTTGTGCACCAAATTCATCCCTGCAGGACATCAAACACTTCGCTATGTCACTCACTTGCCTTCCAGTCCTTCTCCTCTGATCTTAAACAAACTTTGGTCTCATTTAACTTCTGAACCCAGTATAAAACAAAGCAGGTCAACCAGGGTATTGGAAAAGAGATCCTAGAATAAATTCAAACCTTAACTCCACTATTGTTAACTCTCTGGTCTTGAACAAATTATCTAGTCTTATGGCTCCTAAATTTCCTCATCTACTAATTGCAGAAAACAGTAATAAGAAGATGTCAGCTTTGTCTTTAAGAAAGGGGAAGTGTATTAAAAACAGGGCGGCATTGGTAGGATAGCAAACAAAATAGAAAATAACAGGGTAATAAAATACACATCATTTATGACTGATGCAATTTAAATACTTTCATAGTATTTTATTGTAATAACATTGCAGATGGATATTATTTTCATTCTAGAGAATTATTAATAAAAAAAGAGGCCTTAGGTTGTCACTGTTTTGGCACAGTGGATTAAACTGCAGTCTGCAATACTGGCACCCAATAGAGATGCCGATTTTGGTCCTGGCTGCTCTGTTTCTGGTCCGGCTCCCTGCTGATATACCTGGGTAAGCTATAGAGCATGACCCAAATTCTTGGGCCTCTGCACCTACATGGGGGACCTTGATGAGGCTCCTGGCTCTTGCCTGCAGTCTGTCCCTGTCACTGAGGCCATTAGGGAGGGAATCAGCAGATAGAAAATCTTTCTTCCTATCTCTATCTCCTGCTGTCTGTCCCTGTAACTGCATTTCAAATTTTAAAAAATAACATCTTTAAAAAATAAAGAAAGAGAAAGAGCCTTTACAAAAATAAAGCACTCTGTCCAAATCTAACCACAGAAATTATAGCACTGTTCTCATTCTTGCCTGACTTTAACTGCTACTCTTTTTTTCTCTATGCCACATAAAGAACACAGTGTACTTTTGTGGGTTTTTTACCATTGAAGAATTTTAAAACAGGTAATATTTAAGCAAACATTTACAGGATGGCTGAAATGTGTTCTTGTAGCCAAAAAGACATTGTGCTATTGGAAGGGATGACTGGGGGCAGGGTGAGAATCAGAGGGTGGCATGGAGAGCTCACATGCAAAACTGCTGGTTAGAAGACAAATTTGGTTGGACCACGCAGGGCCTAGAAGCCTAGGAGTTAAAATGTGTATGTTTATCCACTTGGAAAACAGGTGACCTAGAGTGAGGGGGTTTCATAGTGGAGCCATTTTTGGGGGGTCTTCAGCTCAGTGCTGGGTCCCACTTCGGAAAAGCAGTATCTCCTTAATAATCAGAGCCTGATCATGCTTCTTGGGCAGCACAGAAGAGGGATCTCCCAGATGACTGTACTGCTTCTGTGGGCTTTGGGGGCCAAAGCCAGGAAACTGAATCCAACTCAAGCCTCTGATGTGGGCCACAGGAACCCAGCTACTTCAGCCATCAGCTGCTGCCTCCCAAGGTGTGCCTTAGCAGGAAGCTAGAGCCTACAGCTGCCGCTTGACGTTGAACCCAGGAACTCTACTGTGGGATATGTATGTTGGAAGTGCTGGACCAGATATGCACTGTGGTTTCCTGAGCACTTGTGCACATTTGCCTCGATTTTAGCCACAAGGCCAGCACTGGCAAAGTAATCTGGTGACGCACAAAGCCTTGCTTTCCCTTGCTACTTCAGGTGTTTCTTTAAAAGTTTTGTATCTCTACTTCTCAAGTAAAGAAATACAACCTGATTCTATAGTGGGCATTAAAAAATAAATGCATTCAGAAAATCACTTAAAATATCCAGAAATTTGGTTTTCCCAATACTAGTGCAGGAGGTAAAGATAGGTAATGGGAAAAAAATTGGGAAGTACCATACAAGAAGTGGGCATTATACAACTTTGCACAAATAAAGGAGAAAGTTGATAGGCTTTGAAATATGTAGAATTTATTTATGTTAACTTAGGAGGTGGTCAGTTCATGAAGAAGGATTGAAAATTTGTGCCTGAAATTCTCTTTAATGAACTTGGTGATGGAGAAGTTCAGGTTCACCATGTTTTGAAATATGTTAAGCACAGGAGAATAATTTTCTAAGATTGATTTTCTTCGCATTTGACAATAAGGACATGCACTAGAGACTGTAATGTGACTTGTTAACTTTCACTATACACTAGAATGGTTCTAAAATTAAAAATGTAAGGCATTTGTAAGCTTTACTACATCCATTTTCTCTTAAGAGAGAAATATCTATTCTTTTTAAAAGTCTTTTTATTTGAAAGAAGAGTGGCACACAGGAAGAGTGAGAATGTGTGTGCTTCCATCCATTGGTTCACTCCCCGAATGACCGCAGTGGTCCGAATAGGGCCAATCTGAAGTCAGAAGCCAGGGGTTTCTTCTGGATCTCTTATGTGGATACAGTAACCCAAGGATCTATGTCAGTCTCCACTTCTTTCCCAGGCACATTGGTAGGGAACTGGATCAGAAATAGAGCATCTGACACTGAAACTGGCACTCACATGGCATGCTGGTGCTGCAGGCAGAAGCTTAAGCTACTATGCCATCATACCAGTACCCAAATCTATTCTTTCAAATAAAAAATGTTGTGAGTTAGCCAGACAGGATTATTCCTTCACTGTTTAGTGAAACATTGTATGGATAGCATGGTCATTTTTATCATTAAGCAAGACATAGGCTGAATTAAGATGGGAAGAGGATATCAAAAGACTGCAATTTAGATCCCCACTGTGCCAACTCCAGGGGCCAACTCTCAGCACTCAATTTCCTCATCTGTGAATTGAAGATTTTAATTATTTTAAGGTATTGTGGCTATTAGGGAGATCATCTGTGTCCAAGGAAAATACACACACCACACATAACACACACATACTTGAAACATGGAATTTTACTTTAAGAAATGGCTCGGGCCCGGCGCGGTGGCGCAAGTGGTTGGGGCCCTCGCCTTGCACGCCCCAGGATCCCATATGGGCGCCAGTTCTAATCCCGGTGGCCCTGCTTCCCTTCCAGCTCCCTGCCTGTGGCCCGGGAAAGCAGTCAAGGACGGCCCAAGGCTTTGGGACCCTGCACCCGCGTGGGAGACCCGGAGGGGGCTCCAGGCTTCGGATCGGCATAGCGTTGGCCGTTGTGCTCACTTGGGGAGTGAATCATCGGACGGAAGATCTTCCTCTCTGTCTCTCCTCTCTGTGTGTCTGCCTTTCCAATAAAAAAATAATAAAAATAAATCTTTAAAACAAAACAAAACAAAAAAAAGAAATGGCTCAAAGTTGCTAACAGATTGATAATCTGCTGTGGAGAAGCCGCACTTTGCGCTGGAGAGAAGCTGTGCAAGGGCTGGACAGCTGGCTGAGTTAGACCTGTTCGACCCTGCACCGCCTCCATCTCTTCGCTATGTCTCTTCTGTGAAAAATACTAATCATCCAGGAACTAGGTTTTTCTCTTTTTTGTTTTGTTTTTGTTTTGCTTCCTTTTGTTTTTCTGATCCTCCATTACAAGTGAACATGGAGTACAAAGGAAAAGTTCTTACCTCAGGTGTAAATTTTCATAAGTGAACTAAGAGAAACGTGAAGCTAGGACTCTCCTTGGAAAATCTTCCATAAAGGACTTTGCACAGCACATATGGCTTTCCAAGGTCCATTTTACATTGCTACTTAAAAATCTTACCCTTGCTTCTCATTACAAATGTATGATCTTCACTCTCCTACTTTGTTTCCATGGACAATACTCTTTTCAGGGCTCTTTTATCTGTTCAAACTCATTACTCTAGCGCACATTTCAGACACATGAGTGTATTCATCTAATTCTCAAACAAACATTTCCATGATATGTTACTTCCTCCAGACTGTGGTTTGGAAAGCAAGGTTCAGAAAGGTTAGAATACTTCTAAAATGAGAAAGCAAGTAGGATGTGAAAAAAAAAAAACAGTCCCTAGCCTCATGCTTAATTCCTTTTCCCCATTTAATTACTGTTATGGTCAACAAGAGATGATGATAAAACTAATTTGCCTAAGAGATCGAAACTGAGATTTTAAAAGGTAACAATTATCATATTTTACTTAGTTTACATTATCACAATTAATACTGATTGCAAGAAATATTAATAGAGGGCCTGGCATGGTAGCCTAGTGGCTAAAATCCTAAAATCCTAGCCTTGCACAAGCTAGGATCCCATATGGACGCCAGTTCTAATCCCAGCAGCCCCGCTTCCCATCCAGATCCTTCTGTGTGGACTGGGAAAGCAATCGAGGATGGTCCAAAGCCTTGGGACCCGGCACCTGTGTGGAAGACCCAGAAGAAGCTCCTGGCTTCTGGCTTCAAATCGGCTCAGCTCTGGCCATTTGTGGCCACCTGGGGAGCGAAATCAGAGGCTGTCTTTCCTCTCTGTATATCTAACTTTCCAGTAAAAATAAATAAATCTTTTTAAACATCAATATAAAGGTGTGGGTTAATAATAAAATGGACAGATAATATAATTCTGACAGTTCTGTGCCTCAATAATCAAGCAGTAACTAATCCAGGCAAGAATATACACCAATATCAACAAATAAACACCACAAACAATTGATTGGGTTCAGTTTTGCCAATTTTATTGAACCAATAAAATTCCTACTAAGAACAATGAAATAAATTTCTGCAAGTATAAATGTGATACAGTTTAACAAAACCCATTGTTTTGTACCTATAAATAGATTTTCAAAATGTCATAAAAAGTGCAGTTATGAATTGTTGTTAACATGTTAATACACACAGTTCCTTTATTTCAGATGTGTTTGTTTTGACTCACTAACAGTTCCTTCCGCATCTGTTCAAATAATATTACCCATCCCTCCAAAAAAGACATTGAAGCACTAGAATATTACACATAAACTGATCCAGTCAGGTCAGCTTTAGTCAGAACTATAAAATCAGCAACATAAGAAAAATAAAACCTAGTTATACATTTAAAAAAAAGCTTTCATGGGTTCTATAAGCTCCTTTACTGCTGACTCATGTGGAGGGCATCAAGAATTGAATAGGCTTATATGGTTAACTACTTTAGACTACAGCTACAGCAGGGTCCGCTCTGCCAGAACAAGTTTAAAGTGGCTGTTTATTAAGTTTCCTATTTTCAGAACTGAAACTATAAATATAAGACCGTCTTTTGACACTGAAACTGGTGTGAATCCTAGATTGCATCAATGATCTATTTGATAAAAGCTTATTCTAATTTAAAATCTTATAGTAAGAGACTGATATATATAGCAGTCTTAAAGATCACGTCATCTGCCTTACATTAGTCCAATGTCACGTGCTTCGTAAAAAACAAAAACAGTTACAGTAACAAAGCACAGGACTACAAAGGCAAAACATCACAGCTTCTGATTACATTGAATAAAAAGTACCAAGAAACGCAAAAGATAATTCTGTATTAATACTGATGAATTAAAGAACTATAATAGACATTTCACAGCATGCTACATATATCACTCACAACTTAAGGGTAAAATGATGTCTAAAAGTGAAGTTCAAGAAGTTGGCAATCTGATTTCGTGTGCAATTCAGCTACAAAGTCTTAATATATATACATTCATCTTGTAGCTGCCCTGCAAAATCAGGATTAAAAAAAGTTTTCAAGTTCAAATCCTATTTCATAAGTTAAAGATACATCCAGTTCTTCCATGACCAAGAAAGTTGTTTTCACGTGGAAGGAGCTAATGTAAGTAGCAAGGCCATGTTCCAAGTGGACCTGACAGGGTTCTTTTTATCTTGATTACACTGTGCACATGGATGTACCTAGTCTTTTAGCATTGAGAAGACTGCCAAAGTGGCTTGCTTTCCATGTTTGTCTTATTTCAGATTGAAAAGAGTGACAAGAAAGAGGAAGGAGAAATTTTTTATTTTTCTCTTTAAAGAAGATATGAATGCAAAGCAAATATTTCACTAGAGTTTAGATTACTTTCCTTGGCAAACAAGGGTACCATTTAACTCTTAATTTACAGAACCCAAGCAATTCAGAAAAAAAAAAAAAAAGCTACAATATAAAGGAAATTTTTTGTCCACCCAACTGATATTTTTCCTGGATCTTACTTTTTGATCTTTCCTTATCAGATTTGGGAGAGCTAGTCAAAATTTAGCAAAAGCTGATTAAGAAAGACATATAATTAGCTTTATTATGTATCATAATGTCTGCACTTAACTGATCAGGATTTATGGACACTACTTTAAAGACCAGAGATTTTCTTTCCCTCTTAGATACTCAGTGTAAAAATTATACATTCATTTTTAAAAAGAGGTTAACTTGAGGGGGTTCGAGAAAATAGGCTGTTTAGCAAAATTTACATACTGAGAAGTATACTCATTATGTTTAGATTTACTGTTTGATGTTGTCCTAAGAATTGTATGGGACATTTGTTTTAAAGGCTATTTCATGATGTATACTACATTATTTCCAAGATTCCCACAAGAATTCAAAGGAGTCATTCTATTTTTCTCTATATATGTTTTTTCTTTACCAGATCTGGACTTCATATTGGTACAGTCATAATTAAGCTAATGCTGTGATAAATACTTCATGACATATGATCTAATAAAAAGCCATTTCTTCAGTGTCCATTAAGTCTGCTTCCTAAACTAGGCCACTGATTTATTCCTGGCCCTCTAAAGGTGTTTACTGGACACTGCTGTCAAGTGGAGTTCAAAAATGAAATGGAAAATATCCAAATACTATCATACATCAGAATAATCTGTATATTTCTTAAATAAAGTGCTTATCTCTAAGTCATCTATAGATAAGCATGGTCCATGTTGGAAACCTGACATTCCTTCACATCTTGAACACGACCATGTGCAAATAGGTGTGAGAGGAACTGCTGCTGTCCTTCTCCTCTTTACCTTTCCTCTTCCTAAATGATACTATCTGGACATACCTGAAGTGCAGGTAGGGAAATAAAGATTACAAAGTCAATGCATTCCCTTCTTTTCATCCCATAGAACATTTACTCCCATGTGAACAGGGCAGGGATGGGGGCTAGAAGTTTGGTCTAACCCACTTAAGTCTGTTTAAACTCTATTAAGGTCAATTTTGTGATATTCTATCTCTATTATAAATCAGATGTACTTCTGGGATCTAGCTGGACCATCTAAATGTCCTACAGGAAACACCAGCAAAGTGAATGTCTGAAACACCACTCAGTTTGCATGCCAGACACCTCTTGTTCCACTGAAGGGTTACAGGTCAACCTGGACAGCTAGAGAATTTAACTTTACATTCAAATAACTTGGACTAACACCAATATTCACCTAATATAGATTCAAGTTAACGATGGCAATTCAATCACTTTAAAATCTTGCAAACTGCTAAATTCTGCATGGTAGAAATAGCTTAATTTCTGTATCATGTATAAATATAGATTACTACTTTGATAAAAGGCAAAAAATCTTTTATGATTTATTTAAACTATGGAAGTAGTATTACTGAATAACAGAGAGTGAATCCATGAAAAGGCTGGATACTCTGAATTTATAGGCTCTTTGGGGATGAGGTAGAGGAGAGCAAGACATTTTGGCAGCTGGGAAAGGGGAGAACAATATGGGGTGCACAAGATTATACAGTGTCTAGGGCAAAGGTTAGTCAAAACGAGTATAGCTACACTGGTTAAAGGATTGAGAGGGAGTTTGGATACAACCATATTCTTATGGAATGGAGCAAAAGTAACTCAGAAAAGTAAATGCTGGTGACTTTGAGCAGGTGGCTGGTGACTTGGATAGTGAAAGGTGTTTGGATCCAGCTGGGCTGAAGGCAGGGGAGGAGAGTGCATTTGTAGAGGTTGAGGCACTTAGAGGAAGAGAAAGCAGGCTGGAAAGGGTGGGCTGGTTGCAGGGAGGAGCTCCCGGGTGGGAAATGTTGCCTTTGTTTTAGGTGGTACCATGCTGAGGATAGCCCTACTCTCAGCTTTATGATCCAAGTGTTCTGTAAAAACTTATCCTTCCTCACAGGGCTCTGCCTTAACAAAAACCTCTACCTCTAAGATCCATTTCACCCCGGCTCTTTTCTTTCTAGGTCTCTCCTGAGCAGACATTGTTAATTAAGCCATATCAGCATTGGAATAAATTCCATATGCAGGTGGGCATGGACTGATATATATTCATGTTACGGTCCTGCTTTGAGGAAAGACCAGCTTAATTTGATTCTCAGTCTCCAGATGGATGCAATAGGGAAACAGTTTATCGTGATGTCCACCTAGGATGGAGCCTAGTTCTACAAATTAGGTAACCTAGAACTTGGTCTGTACAGAAGAGCCACACGTCTTTCAGTTTGCTATTGAATTATATGAACAAAAATTTCATGTCCTATTTATATACTCTATGCAAGGCCATCTTTTTGTCAAAAAGGAAACAAGAATGTCTCATGAGATAGACAGATGTTTAAGGTCTTGTTTTTTTAGAAAAAAACCATTAGAATGTCTTTAGAAAAACAGAAAACAAAAACAACTTATTTTACTATCACAGTGCATATTTTTATATCATGCACTGAAACTTGTTGCTTTCCCTGATATATTGTCCTTATAGTTAAAAATAATTTTACCATCTTGTGTGCATGCACTTTTCACTAAACACAGTGAACTATTTCAAGTACAGATCTTTAATTGTTCACTGAAAATCTTATTCTGCTGCAGCATAAAAATCTAAGACTTTTGGATTAAACAAACAAAAAACCCTCATAAGGTAACAAGGAAAAAGTTGCTTTGGAAAAAAATTAATTTGCTTTTAGAAGAATTTAAGATCTTCATGAGATATCATAAAACAATTAAAACAGTGGCACTGGTTCTAATTTTATATATTTTTGCATGAAATTTTACATCAAGTCTTCTGTCTCCAAAAAACATTATTTAAAACCATAGTTATAGGCCAAAGGCACACCCTGGACTCCACGTTACTGATCTTCTATTCTAAGAGTGGTCAAACGGGACAAATACTTCCTTGAACTAAGCCAACATGCTTAGTTCAAGATGACAAAGAAAATACTAACCAGTAGAGTCTCCATAGCCTCATGTCCCAAAATTATCACAAATCTGAGGAATCCAACGAGGCATCAGCCTGGCCCCTCCCAGCGGCAAGTGGGCTAAGATTTACTTTTAGGTGGAAGGGTATTTTCATATTTCTTAAGGTGATCTGAGAAATCAAGAAGCTGAAAAACTTGAAATTCTAAAATAAGTAGACGTTATTGAAGCATATCCGTCAGTGGATTGCCAAACTAATTTTAACACAGTAGGCAAGGAATCAAAGAATTCACATTCACATGTGCTTTTTCACGCACACTTGCACATTTAGGTTTGGCACAATGTAAGCCCAAAATGTAAATTACCATATTGTATAATCACATCAGTATACCAATTGAACCAGATAACTCTTTTTTAAAAATATCACATTTTAATATAAAAGCTATATTATAAATGACTACATAGTAAATTCAATACTCTGAAAAAATATCACCCTGGAAAACCGCATCAGAATTTCAAGTTTGCATTAGATACAGAGTTGACAGCAAACTGGTAAGATGGTATTCACAGCCCGGAATGCTAGCCATGCTGCATCTGGGAGGTGCTTTGACACCTTCAAAAATCATTTTTTTTAGGCTGGTTCACTGAGATTCATCAAAAGATTATTTTGTTTTTGATATTAGTTCCAAGTCAACTTATTTTCCTGATTATTGATGAGAGTTCAATGCTGAGCTAGAAAGAAAATTTGGTAGGAAAGAGATCTAGTAAAGGCACTAATATTTCTATAACCCAAACTCCAACTACTTATGTTTCTGGGGGAGAATAACAAACCAAACTGAACAAAACAAACAAATAAAAAAACCCAAAACTAAACTAAGTGGCCATTTAGTTACTTCAATTTTGTTTCTCCTTTTGGTCTAAAGCTCATATGGTGTTCTGTAAGAATTACTCCTCCTTTCTAGTATATATAAAAATCACTTTCCATCCTGTAATACAATTCACCTGCACAAAAATAGAGGGCTATTAAATGATAGGATTCCAATTTTAAGAATGCAAGAACAGAAGACATCCTTGAGTTGAAGGTTCTAACGTCAGGGCAGTCACACAGACACCTGTGTTGCCATCTGTGGTTTGCTTTTCTCCTAAATACTTTCTTTGTATTTAATACATATCTGTTTAAGGTGAAATTTAATGAAATCAGCACATGGCATAAGCAATCAACAAAACAGAAGAAATCTGGCATGAACTCTTTGAATAAACTCTGTGAATAAAACACCCTGTCATCAAAAACATCTGTAATTTTTCCCTCACATGGAGGATTTCAGACAAGATCCTGGAATCCAAAAATGCAAAACTACCTTATCTCATTAGATTTACAGTCATCTTTGTTTCCTTATATGGGACAAAATGTAAAGGAAAGCAACCTAATGTACTGTACCAGAAAAGGATGATAAAAGTAAGGGGAGAATTGACCTAATGAAACACTAGCCCATGACTCTGAGATAAAGGAAATTTTTACATAACAGAAAAAGTAAACCTAAAATAAAATATTTGCGGGAGCTATAACAGAAAATTTTAACTATATTACTTACTACAAAAATTGATTTTTTTTTAGAAAAATCAACATACATTGTAAAATTCAAGTTACCCTTAACTAACTAAAAGAGTGTAGAAGCAGTGCAGTTGTGTCCTAGTGGATAGTTGTAAGCATCTCTTTAGGCACTTCACTGGTTCATTAACATAATTTAAATTAAAGCTATAAACACATAATGTTGTGCTCTCTGAAGACAGTCTAATCAAGCAACATAAACCAATGCAAAAATGGGACTTTTTGGCTGCCTGTTCTTCCCCTATAACTTGATATATATATATATGTATATATATATATATATATATATTTTTTTTTTTTTTTTGTCTAACCAATTGTCCAAAGAGATTTTTTTTCTGGGGAAGGAAATGCTTTGGCATTATGAAAAGGACATCGTTCAACCCCAGTAAGATAAAACCAAAAAAAGGAAAGCCTGTGCAATAAAGACATTTGAACAAAATTTCTTTATGGCTCTGTTTAAAAGGACACTTCTGCAGTGACATGATAGGGAGAAAGTATGAGTATTTTTTTTGAACATATTGCACTCTTTGTTGTTGTTCAATTGCCTTAATGCATAGAGACACAATGTTTTACCTTTGTGTAATAAAACTGCTCGACCTATTTATAAAGAAAACTCACAGAAAATAATTTCTAAAAGTCTAACAGGAAAAAAAAATAGGCATATTAACCTCTCTTTGCTTGCTGCAATATAGAAAGGACTATGAAAAAGGAGAAATGTGCAAAGAAACTTTTTGGTCAGTTTCATGTGGATACAGGTTTCTATGTGCCAATTCGCTGAAGTGCAAGCAGCACTCTGAGCGCTGGTTATGTAAGGTGACTGAGGACTCCTGTCAGCGATAGAAAGGATTGTGCATAATTCCACTCTGAATATATACATCTGACATGGAAACTAAAACTGCTGTTTTAAGAAAGAAAGAAAATAGTTGAATTTGGCATCTCAGTAGCATGCTATAGAATTCATCATGATTAATTTCACATTAAATTATGGACAATGACTGTATCACATTTCACGTTATAGCCAATAGCAGTTTAAAAAGAAAAAGAAAAAAAAAGTAACAGTGCCTGACAATTCATTTCCTGGGGACACAAATTTGTGTCCAATGAGCAGCTTGGTTCAATAGAGCATGCTTTTCTTCCACCAGATTAAGGACACAACATGAAAATTTCAGAATGGCCAGAGGAGGCTACTCCTTGTTGAATTCCAATATCTGAAAAACAATTTTCTTAAGCTGATTGTAAGCGCTTTTCCTTAATTTTTTTTTTAAACAAAAGGTAAAGGAAAAAACCACACACACACAAACACATAAACCCAAAAGCACTGAAGTTAAGCATTAACAAACCAGATTCATGATTGATGTTCAGTATCCAAAAATCCAACTATAAACAATGCAAAGTAGTGCTCCTCAGAATTATTTTTGCAATTGTTAGTAATGTTAAGCATCAAGAAAAACGAAACACACCATTGCACATTACAGCCGCAAAAAAGAACAAAACAAAAATGACTAAACTTTGACACTAGAGAATTGAATAATTTTTGCTGCTATATCACAAAACAGTTTCTGTTGTATATCTTATTTGAAAAGGTCTTTACACATATCTGACATTTTCCTGGCTGGTGCATCAGGTTAAATGCCGAGTTATGGCACGAAGAGCATAAAGTAGTTCAGCTTGCATCCGTGCTTCCATTAGAAGTAGGTTTACATGGACCTAGAAATGCAAATGTCATTAGTTTAATAATCATTATAAACATTTCAATTTTTAAAGAAAATTTAGACATTCACAAAGGCTTTGAAAAATGTATATACACTCAAAACACAGCCACACATGCCTGGCCTGGGCACGTTTTCATAGGTACATGACGCAACATTCAAACCTGCATTTGCAAAAAAATGCAATAAAAGCAGTAATAAATGACTCATCATGTCCAAAACATTCCCATAATCTAGTTATACTATATGCTATGTAAAGTCAATCAGCTTTTCGGATATAAAACTAAACTTTGTACATTACAATTATACTACAAATTACATTTCCTTATAGTTGTGAATTTTTACATGGCTAGAAATTAGCCCTACATTTCTTTCTTTGAGAGACAGAAAGGCAGGGAAAGAGAGAATCAATCTCCCGTCATCCACTTGTTCACTCCCCAAATGCCCACAATAGCTAGGGGTGGCTGAAGTTAGGAGTCAGGAACTCAATCCAGTTGCCCAAGTTGAGGGCAAGAACTCATGACCTGAGCCATCTCATACCTGAGCCATGTACCTGAGCCATCCAAGGTACATATTAGCAAGAAACTGGGATTGCAAACCCAGGTGCTCTGGTAGGAAAGTGGGCATCCCAAGTGGGAAAACATCCTAGCATTTACATGAAAAATACTACAGAGAAAGCTTGATGCTTAAAGCAGTGTTTAATAAATGTCTGGAACTTATACTATCAATTAGGTAAGTATAGCTCAATGAGAGTCTCTTAATTGAATTTTGGGATATTAATTCATTTTGGGATATTTCTCAGCTGACAGGTTAAAAAACACATTCAGGTTTTCAAAAAAGAAGTGAATTGTGATACTATATTTAAATTATTTTATTATCTTTGCACAGATTGAATGTATTGTTGAATGTATTTTCATAAGTAAAGAAAACTTTCAGATAAAATCTCGAGGATTAGGTAAATCTAATGCAAATATGTAAATTTGGCATAAAAATTAATCAAAAGAGATGCTATTGACAAAGGAATATTTATCTCAAGTGTGACCGGCTCTATGACTCTCCCCAAAATGTCAAGAACTAGGGTAATAACATTCCCTGCCAAGGTCACATAGTTAGTGAATGCTAGGACCCTGAAAAGATTTTCTTATTCTCAACTTTAGAAACTAGTATAAAGAAGATTTGTGGACACCATGGTTAAAAGACCCAGACCTTCAGGACACTACTATGTGATGTTGATAAAGATCTTTAACTTTTTTTTAATTAAAGATTTAAAAAATTTTATTTAAAAAAATAAAAATGTGAATAAATAAAATAAATGAATGGCCGGAGCAAGACAACCCAAACGCACCAGGAGCTTCCTCCAGGTTTCCTATGAGGGATCCAAGGACTAGAGCCAACCTTTGCTGCTTTCCCAGAGCAAAAGCTATATGGGAGATAGATGGAAGTGGAGCAGCCAGGGCATGAGCCAGCACCCGTATGGGATGTTGGCACCCCAGGCAGAGGCTTAGTCTATTATGCCTTGGCGCCAGTTCCAAGATCTTTAACTTCTATTCGCTTTTTAAAACTTAAATAATGATGTCTAAATATTTCATCTAGAATATCCTTATATAACAATCACAACTTGGGCATCATATTGTCAAAGTATTATATTACTAAATAGGAACAAGAAACTTGTTGTAAAGGGTTAAATGTAGTGGCTAGCCTTAAATAATCTCACAGTGGATGTGCCTCTGGACAAGATACAACTGTGCCTACAATATAATAGCTCAGAAAGCCTATTTTTATAATAGTTAAAATGGTAGGCAGTTTCCAAATGAACCTTAAAGATAACAACGTTCAGATCTAATCTTTTAAAAGTTGATATTAAAATTTACTTTATATCAAATTAAACAAAACATATAATCAAAATTTAGTTAATAGTCATAAACCTGAAAAACTTTTAAAAAACATAGTTATATGTGACACTTCCATTCCCATTGCACTAATTCAATAACACTTTCATGCATCAGTTTTCATAACTACTGCACTGCATGATCACTGTTGGAAATCTTCATCATGAGACACTGACCTTTTCTGAGTGCTTGAACTGCCTCCAGTAACTGTCATACATGCGTTTTGTGGTTCTCTCGGGATAGCAAGTCACTGTCTTAATGTAAACCTTCAAGCTCCTTTCAAGTAACTGGTTAACTTCTCCATAATCATAGTCATCATACCTGTGAGTAATATGACAACAGCTTTTTAATGACAAAAATCAAAATTTTTAATTCTTGAACTTGTATCAAGAAACACTGATTGTCTGGTAATCGAATATAAAAAGTCCATTAACCAATTCATCTAACAACCTATTATGTGTCATGCACCCTTAAAGGCACTGGGGATATACTTGGGAACAAAAGAGCTCATCAAGCTTAAATTACATTGCAGTAAAAGGAAAAAATTAAGAAGATGTGGTTTGTCAGCTGGTGATAACCACTATGTAGAGAATATATATATTGTATATAATATATTATTATATTATAATTACATGATATTATACAATATTCCATATATTATATATATGGAATATATAGACATATGCCAATTATGTCGCAAATGTAACAATCTGACCACTGCAGATAACTATTTGGAGGTCAATGACACCCTCAATAAGTACAGTTTCATTGGCATGATAGGGGCAAAAGACTATATTGTAGATGGGTTCAAGAGAGAAAGGGAGATGAGAAAATGGCAAGTCAATACACAAAATCTTTGCAAGGAGATTTTGCAGGGAAGCAGAAAAATGAGGTAGTAGTCGAGGGGTGGAGGGCAAAGGATGAAGATAACGTTTTTTCAAGATGGAAGAAACAGCAGCCTATTTCCATACTGATGGGAAAGATGCCATAAGGAAAACAGAGTTGATTCTGTAGGCAAGTAGAGGAAGCTCTGCGAGAATACAGAGCATTAGAAGATCAGAGGAGATGGCTGTAAACAGGCAGTCATCCATTGCAACAGAAGATGGTGGAGCCAAGGGCCCAGGGACAAACAGGTGGACAAAAAGGATACTGGGCGTTTGTGGAATTTTTTGTCAATATTTTCAGTTATTCTTAACTTAAATGTAATGATTAGTTTACAGAAAGAATCTGGGCCATTTTATAGGCTTATTTAATTGTGTCTGACAGATAAATATGAGCACAAAAAATCTGCCTTGTAAATAAGAAATCTTCACTACAGTTAATCAAATTCTAGTAGTGATTTTCCTTAAGAGGGTAGCTTTATTTTTATATTAAAGTTGTGTGTGAGTGTGTGTGTGTGTTAAAATATTATTAATCCTCTAGCAATTTATTTTTTAGGGTATTCGATGGGAATAGTAGTTTATAATAATTATGCTAAATTAACAATGTCTTTTACATAGAATATTATATTTTAAGTTGACTTATCAGGAAATGTGGGGGTTCTTTCAGGTAATATTATAGAAAACTGTTTGCTTTCCAAATTGAGTTGTAATTTCATTCTAAAATACAATATTATAGCTGATTTATTGTGTAATCAAGATGAATGTATTCATAACTAGAAATTTTCTTTTTCTGCAAATCTATTTCTATATAAGTTTCAAAATGCAGGTCAAAGAGGCACATTATCCAAAGAGAGCTCTTTTGATTAGACCATTCAGTTTCATTTACTCACTTATTCCCTCTCCTTTCAATGGCAATTTTCTAAGTTTTAAGGCATTAATTTATATTAATTGGTATATTTTCTTTCACTTTTCTTATATGTCCTATGTAAGCTTTATGAGAAAATAATCCAGTTTTATTTATTTAAGAATAAACTTTAAAAAAATTAAACTAAACAACCAGATTTAAAGGGCCACAAATCATGTTATTTTCACCTAATCTGGTCAGTCTCCCAGGAAAGAGTCTCTGTGTGATTCCATCCCATCCCAGTATTTGCTGAGGGTTTTTTTTCCTCTCCATAGTAGCTTTTTCCTAGTGCTCTTAAATGTGCATCAAGCCGATATACAACACAAAGAAAAATGCTTCTCTATAAAACAGATTTGTTTTGAACCAAAAGTGTACATGCATATACTATTTTCTTTCCAGAAACATTTATTCCCAAACAGGATATGAATAAGACCTATGTAAGAATCTTTGTTTATCTTTCCACTTTTCCCTTTTTTGTTGTTTTTATTATTATTTACCATGATACCGTTGTCTGGGTATAGGGATTCCCCCCTCCACCACCCCTTCCTCCCTCCCCATTCTTGCCCCACCACCATTTCCCCCCATATTATTGCAACAGTACAGTCCTTCAGCAACAGTCACAGGTCCAACATTCTACTGTTTTAGTGTAGCATGGCACTGAGGGAACAGGCAATGTTAGCAATGTATGACTGTCTCCACAGCGAACATACCTGATTCCAAACATACAGTGAACATAATTGAACAAAGCTCGGCGCAGCATGGTTGTGTCTACACCCTCGTGGGTAGCCATAGTGTTATAGGTGAGACTGTAGACCATCCGAAACTTCTCATCAAGAAGATGTCCGATATCAGAATAAAGTCTATTCACGAGGGAGAACCCATGATTTTCCCAAGTATAATCCTAAAATAACAAAGCAAGCATTCTCCATTTAGACTCTCTTTCTTCTTTTATCAATTGTAACGACTAAAGACAGTTAAGTAAAATTGTACCCAATATAGTTCTAACTTAAAATTCATTAAGCTTTTACCAACAACCATGCAAATCAGCTTGGGGACTGGACTGCCAGGATGTTTCTTCATGGGGGCCAGGGATTGGCATGTTAGTGATGAACTCTGGTGAGGTATTAAGGCACACCACACCCTTGCCTGGAAGGAACTCAAAAAATCTTGGGCATTTTCTATCTGACCAAACCCACTCAGTGATATGGACAGTCATCTAAAACAAGTACCAAGGAGCTTGTTTCATTCAAACTTGAAGTCACTTCCCTACTGTGGCTAGGTGTTCTAGGAGTGGCATGGGCCAGGGTAGCATGTAAGCCTGTAATTCTTGGTATACCAATTTTTTACTACAAAATGCTTTTTTATTATAAATATATCCATATAGCTTTATTTTTTCTCTCTACTCCTCTAAAAAAAAAAGTGTAAATATTATACATCCACCATAAAAACAACTTATCCAATTCTTTAAAAGTCAATTTACTTACATTTCAATATCTAAATTTTTCTCTAAATTCTTGTACCTGAGCTCGGAAGGTGGGCAAATGCTCTTCTCCTCGTCTAGCAAAATCTTCATATCCAAAACCAGGGTCTTCAATATATCGAGAGACATCAGATGTTATGATCATGTCATCTTCAAAATCTAAGGACAACAGCGCACAGTTTAGTGCTGAGGATATTCTTCCCAGTGAGGACAGTGAAATTGGAACCTATTTTTTTTCTAACGTTCAGTTTAACTATGGATTTCTGAACTTATAATAATGACTACATGCTTTAAATTCACACAGAGTATCTACTGTTTGTGGGAAAGACTTAGCAAAGTCACCAAAAGCACAGGCAGTCAAAGCCAAAATAAACAGACGGGACTACATCATACTAAAAAGTTTGTGTACAGCAAAGGAAATGATCCAGAAAGGGAAGAAGCAACCAACAGCATGGGAGAAAATCTTTGCACACTACATAACCAATAGGAGAATAACATCCAGGATTCACAAAGAGCTTCCAAAACTCAGTGACAGTAAAACAAACGACACTGTGAAGAAATGGGTTATAGAAACAAATATTTTTTTAAAAGAACAAATTGAAATGGCTAATAGATACATTTAAAAAATGCTCAGGTTCCCTAACTGTCAGAGAAATACAAAGGAAAATCACATTGAGGTTTCACCTAACTCCAGCGAGACTGGCCTACATTCAGAACTATACTAATAACAACTGCTGGCACGGTATGGGGAGAGAGGTACCCTCCTACACTGTTGAGGGGAGTGTAGGCTAGTACAACCACTATGGAAGTCAGTATGGAGGGTGCTGAGACAACTGAAAATTGATCTGCCATATGACCCAGCTATCCCACTTCTGGAAATATTTGCAAAGGTAATGAAATCTGCATATGAGAACAGGATCTGTAATCCTATATTTACAGCAGCACAGTCTACAATAGCAATTACACGGAAACAACCCAGACGCCCACCAAAAGAGAGGATAAAGAAATTGTGGTACTTCAACTCCATGGAATACTACTCAGCCATTAAAAAGAATGGAATTCTACTGTTTGCAACTAGATGGTCCCAACTTTAGACCATTATGCTTAGGGAAACAAATCAATCCCAAAAGGACAAATATCATATGTTCTCTCTGATATAGAGTCAACCTTCAAGCAAATTACAGCATCAATAGCTCCTTCAATACTGTTTTCGCTAAATCTCAGGGTATTTGATATTTTTGTTCTTATGTTCATTCATTCAAAAAAAGTTGTTTTTCTTATTAAGTTCCTCACTGACTCAGAGGTCACAGAATAGGATTGTTTGCTTCAAGAAGGTCTTTAATTTTCTTTTTTTCATTGACACACTTGTTATTCAGTAGCATGTTATTTAACTTCATGTTGTAAATGTTCTATTTTTCTCTGTTGTTGATTTTGTTTTATGATTTTGTTCTTGATTTACAGAGATGTATAATAACTGTATAGCAGAGACTATCATGACAGATATGAAGCTATGATGCAGTGTACCTCTCTACTTTCAAATCAAAGATGGACTCCTAATGAAATTGTTGAGTGTACCTTGATAATAGAATGATGGACACTTTGGCAGTGTTTATGCCCACAGTGTCAGGATATGCTTAGCAGAATGATGGACTTAGGACTGATTGTGAAGGACTACACTATTATAATGACATGGGGGAATTTACTGTGGGATGGGTGGGAACTTGGGGAAGGGAAAAGGAATGTCCTGGAACCTATAGAACTGTATCATGGAATAATAAAACAAGTAAAATAATTAATCTTAAAAAAAAAAAAAGAAATTTCAGGCTTGTGGCTGGTGCTGTGGAGAAGCAGGCTAAGCCTTTGTTAGCAGTGCTGGCATCCCATATGGGCACCAATTTGAGTCTAGGCTGTCCCACTTCCAATCCAATTCCTTGCTAACAGTCCCAGAAAACCATAGAAGATTGTTTCCTTGGACTCCTGCATCCATTTAAGAGACTCAGAAGAAATTCCAGGCTCCTGGATTTAGATTTGCACAGCTCTGGCCATTGTGGCTATATGGGCAGTGAACCAGCAAGTAGAAGATACTTCTCTCTGTTGTGCCTCCTCTGTAACTCTTTCAAATAAAAATAAATAAATCTTTTTAAAAATTGGTCTATCTCTAGGTCAGTCCTATCACCACTGCATTTTCTCTTCATTTACTCTAGTCAGATAAACAGAAGCAATTAAAAAAATAGCATTTTGTGGGGCCCAGCATGATAGCCTATAGCAGCTAAAGTCCTTGCCTTGAATGCACCAGCATCCCATACCCGGGTCATATTGCAGCGGCCCCATTCCCCATCCGGCTCCCTGCTTGTGGCCTGGGAAAGCAGTGGAGGACGGCCCAAAGCCTTGAGACCCTGCACCCATGTGGGAGACAAGGAAGAGGCACCTGGTTTCTGGCTTGGCTCCAGTCATTGTGACCACTTGGGGAGTGAACCATTGGATAGAAGATCTTCTCTGTCTCTCCTCCTCTCTGTATATTTGCCTTTCCAATAAATAAAAAAATAGCACTTTTCATTGCATTACCTCTCAAGATTTATGAAGCAGGTTATAATTCCTTAAGTCTATCATATATTAGTTGATAGAAATGAAACAACAACTAAAAACACATAATGTAGTAACCACTGAAACTGCTATGAAAAATAAGAGTTTTGTGGATTGTAAACTAAAATCAAACTGAGAACAGTGAGTGATAACTAAACTCTAAGATTTGTCTCTATGTGAGTGATTTTTCTCTTGACATTATTGCCAGATGGTTTCATTTGGCAAACATTAATACTGGAATTGACTATTAGATATTTGGTTCCTTTGCCTTTGATATTTGGTTTCGTTTCACTCATATACATTTTTAAGTTTTTATCTGACTTGAAATTTATTTAAAAAATAATAAGTGAGTAACTTAGTAAACATAATTATTCTAGGAAAAATTTGTTTATTAATTTTATTAAACTAAGAGTCAACCATGACCTGTCTTCCAGTTTTATCCACTAAAAGAAAAGTACACAACTCCCTCAATTCACTTATATTCATTTCATAAATTTATTTTAAGAAGTTAAAATTAATACTATGGTCAACAGATCTGAAACTCTAGTCTTAATCCTATATAAATAAACACATCAAAGTCTGTACTTAAAGGAAATAGCATTTGTACAGCATCTGCATTCTTCCTCTCCTAGGAAGTAGCTACTACATAACACAGAAAAACTCTGTGGAAGTAATGGAATACATTTATATCTTAAAAAACAAGCAAAATCCTTAAACAATAAATGCAAGTTAACCCTGTCCCAAGCTACAGAATACTGCACCTGTAAGTATTTATTTATTTTTTTCAAAAAACTTGAAAAGCTGTTTTTAGAATCCATACATGAATTCTGGAATGCTTTATCAAGCTGGCTATATCCAGAAATGTTATATAGAAAAAAAAATCCAATTTTACAACATAGTTTATAAAAAATGATTCACTTATTTCTACTGCCAATAAACTTAGTACTGGGAATAACAGTAAACACAAATATATAATGGATTGATTTATTTTGCTGAATGTCATATATATAAATTAGACCCTTCTTTAAAATTAGAACACAATTTTTGGTCAGAACCCAAAACTTTCCAGTCAAAATTCACTTTCTCAGACCCTGCTCAAGGATTCAAAAAAATTAATACAAAGCTCCAGTGAACTTAAATAAACTCCTAAAAATTACTATCTGAAGTCTAACAGATATTACTAATGCTAACACAATGCTTACTTTCACATGTTGGATTACTTAGGCTAACTCTAGGTTCATTACTTGTGTTTGCTCCTAGCTGTTTCCCTGGAATTTTCTGACCCACTTTTTTGGATTTTCTCTCCCTCTTATATGGTGAAAACTCGCAGAGCTTTACTTGGAGCTTATGAACCCTCTCCTGATCTCCTGTATCCTAAACCCTTGCTACTCTAAGTGTGACTGGCACCTAGCAGCCCCAACATCACTTGTAGATTTGACAGCCACGTGGCTTCTCAGGCTCTCACCAGCATGACTGGCAGCAGCTGCCCTTGACAAGAGTGCCCAAGTGACTAACATGCACACTGCAGGTTGAGAAGCCCTGTGTTAGCCATCACCAGACTGCATGTTTTACACACATCTCCACTCAAAATGTCCAAAATATTACCATGTTTCTTACAGTTAGAAGTGTCATTCTGATAAGGCCTCCATTTACCTAAGCTGCTTCCTCTTCACTTTACCTGCCTTATGACTTACGTCTTAATATGAAATTACTTGTTCTCACGCATCCTGTTTCTTTACCACTGTGAACTGTTCAGTCCTGGGGGCTGCTGACCAAGTCCTTCCAGGTTCCTCGGACATGGTAAGACTGAGCGTGGAGCTGAGAGCTTCCAGAGCTCTTTCTGCAGCTGCCCTCTGTCTACACCCTTCAAGTTTCTCATCCAGATAAGAGTTTCAGCACCCTCTTCCAGTGTCATCATTCAATTACTTTTAGGTATTTCTCTCTCACTCGCTTGAGAGTGCCCGAAACACAGGAAAATCACATCTACCCTATCCATCACAGTCCTAACACTACCATGGTGTTCAATGAATGTTTGTAGTTCGAACATCAAACCAGTACCTGAAATACCAGCTTCTTTATTTGGAACTTTCTGCTGGTTAGCAGTCTGGTTTGTAGTTACAGTGCCTTCAGTGAATTAAATGGATTCCTCACATGGGCAGATACGAATCTTTCAGAAAATAAGATCGCTGGGGAGACAATAAGAGTTCTAGTCGTTCCTGACAAAACCTCTGAGAATTATTAATCAGTGCTATGTGTTTCACATCAACAAATTAAAGCCTAAACAATCCTCAGAGTTTAAGGGCAAACTAGCCTTAAGTTAGCAATTTTGAAATCCTCTTCTAAACCAATGGAACTCTGTTTCAAAAACTGTTATATAAAATGATGCCTTTTGAAGGGTTTAGCTTTGTATTGAATCTTTACTTTTTTAAAAAAATATAATTTACAATGTAGTATTCAGTATCTTTTCTGGTTATACTTGAAAAGTATCTGTCCTTTTTCAAAGCCTCTTTGAGTATTAGAAAAGCTGTCTTCAGTCTACAGCAAAGAATCTGAGCTTTTAAATAAAATGAATTTTTCCAAATTCAACCTAAGAAAATAACCTAAGAAATATGTTTTTGTGCAAGTCTAAAGAAATGTAAATGTAAGTACAATGTAATTTTAGAACTAATCTCAAAAAGCAGCAGTGTGAGAATAATCCTCCCACACATATGTCATCTACAAAATGGCAGACTGTTTTAAAAGGTATCTACTGAAATAGAATTTCATTTATCATTAAACAAATTTAAAAGTAGGTGAATTAAATATTCCTAGAGCTAACATTATAAGCCATTAGTGTACTTAAAGAACACTGCATCCAGGATAGATTATGGAAAACAATGACAGTTTCTCTTCACTGGACTGGACATAGCTATACACTGTATAATGACAGTTTGGTCAGTGATGAACCACATGTATGGCAATGATCCTACAGGATTACATTGGAGCTGAAATCCTATCATCCAATACAATGTTACATATTATATTATACATGACTTATGTGTTGGTGGTGGTGCTGCTATAAACAAGCCTGTACAGTCAGAAACTATACAGCACATGCAACTATACACAGTATATAATACATTATAATAATAAATGACATACTGACTCAGGAATTTACTATACTTTTTATCATTATTTTTGAGTGCATTTCTGCTTGTGAAGAAATGTCTATGCCCCATTATGAAGGCATTAGCATCATATGCATATCATCCTAAAAAAGAACAAGTGCAGGCTTTTGGTCTATAGTAGTCCCCTGAATCTCATACTGGGGTGCTTGGTCCCTATTCTCAGTTCTAGCTTCCAATTCCGGCTTCCTGCCAGTGCATACCTTGGGAGGCAGTGGTGATCCCTGCAGTAGTTGAGTCTCTGCTGCCTGTGTGGAAGACTGGATTGGATTCCAGGCTCCCAACCTTGAGTGACCTAGTCTCAGCCACAGGAGATGTTTAGCTTAGTAAACCAGTGCAGGGGAGCTCTTTCTGTATCTGTCTGTCTGTCTGTGTCCTTGCTGCCTCTCAAATAAACAACAACCACAACAACACTAGGAGAAGCTTTAAAAACACTGCAGAGTTTAAAATTTTTGTATAAAAATAAAGAAATACTTTTAAACATTCCATTTTCCAGTAACTGAAGTACCTTGTATCTCATATTTACTGCACCTCTTGATTTCACCAGAGGTCACACTGAGTGACCATCCATATGTAAGCATACTCTCTGATACCTGAACAGTCAAAACTGCCTAAGAACTTTTTTCAGAATGTAACTTTATCGTAAAGGCATGCATCATTACACATTCCAAGATGCACCCACCAGAAAGAAAAGCATCAATACTAGGGTACAGGAGGAAACTGATATAAAAGGAAAATGGTAACAGAACTGCTTTTACACAACCCTATGGAAAACACTAAAGGTTGCACAGTCAGGGTTCTGACAACAGCTAAACAGTAAACACGGTGGGGGGAAAAGCACCTGAATGAGGAAATGAATGAAAAGTATCTCCAGAAACCACAAAAAGACTTTCTTTCTTCTCCTTCTCAAAACGAGTGGTCATTTCTTCCTGAGATGCCTCTTCGTCTTCCCTTTCTTCTTGAAGCCTTTTCATCCTTTCCATTAAAGCCTCTAGTTCACTTAAGGAATCCACAATCTGGAACCAGGCAACATAATAACAAATGTTATTAATAGCACACATTGTTCCAGTAAATACCTCCTTCCCTCAATGTCACCTCATTATGTTTGGTGGCAGTTTTGAAGACTGAGGGAAGAGATGCTGGTCAAAAGATCATACATCCTGATCATTTACCTACACAATGTTACAATTAAATAGGATGAAAGTATACTGCAAAGATGTGACCAGAATTGTTGAATATTTGAGAACAGAAAGTTAGTACGGAGGCCAGAGATGGTAAGAAGGGCTGATGTCTGTGGGTCAGGGGAGAGCAAAGTCATAGATTTTCTTTCTTGATGGATACAGTTTAAACATTGTGGTGATGGTTGCATAACTCTGTGATCACACTAAGAATTATTGTATTATATACTTTAAAACATGGATTACATGATATATGAATTATATCTTAAGAAGACTTTTTTTTAAAGTTCCTATGTGGGATTTTCACTAACTCCAAAGAGAATTCCGTAACAGATTCACACATTTTCTGGTATAAACACAAAAAGCTTATAAAGATATACCCAGATTTCACACACACACACACACACACACACACACACACACACAAACACGTAAAATTGTAGCATCTGCTGTATAATAAATTCATTACAGTTTACTGAAAAATAAACTGCTGCTCCCATGAGACATTTTTCACTGGCTATTCCAGCATCTTATACATACAAATATGCCATTCTGAGATCTATGGGTAAAGGGTCTAACAGGGAAAGAATGCATCATTGTTAGGATTTATAATAACTACTTGCTGCAAAAACCTTTTCAAGATAAATCAAAACTTAAGATAACAGTTTTATTTTTACAGTAGTAAAATTATGTAAAAATATTTCGACTATACATATATTTTCTAATAAATTCTCCCAAGACATTTTCAACATTAAGACATGTTTAATCAAAAATAGTAAAGACAAAAAGTTAAGAAAACTCACCCCGAAGTTGTTGCCTGAAAGGGATGCATTTTCTATATTATTGTCATTAGCAAGATCACAGACACAGAAATTGTTGACCGATATTAGCCTGAATCCATTGGAGATTTCTGGATCTCTCTCTGGATTGATGCCGCTGCCGAAAACAAAGCTTGCCAAAGCATGATAATGTGCCAGTAGGACTACAGCATGGACCAGTTCAGGCAAAGACCAATTATTTTCTCCAGTTTTGACAAGTTTCTGAAATGAGAAAGTAAATTAAGGTAAATATAAAAAAAAAACCCACAAAAATGTTATAAACTATTTTAAAAAGCATGGCAAATCTATCAGATTTCATATGCACATTTATCATAATACCATTTAAAACCTTATTTGAAGAATGTTTCACATGCTGAAGATTGGGCTGTGATTAAATGATGCTACATTAACGCTATGAAACCTAACAGTAACCCACTACTGTAGTTTCTTCGGAACTGCTTATCATACAATGGATTCTCTGCTTTCAAAGCATTTTCATATAGCATGTTATTTTAATGAGACACTTTACAGAAGCAAAGAACATTGAAGCTGGAAGGATTTTAAAGATTTTTCTAGGAAAAATTATTCATTCATTTGACGGTTTTTTGGAAACTGTCTCACAAGCATCACATAAAATTTCAATTTAGCAAGTCAGCTTTTACTTACCCTTTAGAATTCTTTTTAAAAAAGATTTATTTGTTCATTTGAAAGGAAGAGTTACAGAGAAAGAAGGAGAGACACAAAGGGATCTCCTGTCCACTAGTTCACTTCCCAAATGGTCATAACGACCAGGGCCGGATCAGGCTACAGCTAGTTGCCAAAAACTTCAACCGGGCCCCTAAAGTTGCATGCAGGAACCCTAGTATTTGAACCATATTACTCTGCTTTCCAACTTGCTTTAGCAGGGAGTTTGATTAAAACTGGACCAGCTGAGATTCCAACTGGCACCCGTGGCAGATGCAAGCATTCTAGGTGGTGGCTTAATCCACTATGCCACAATGCTGGTTCCTAGTTTTATTTTAATGAAGAAAAATCCTGTAGCAGATGACAGAAGTATTGAATATTACCTTACATTTGAAGAAGAAAAACATGTCATGGCACTTTTCATTAAGACATTTTACTTGATCGTCCATTGCAGACAGACTCCCAGCCATTAAGAAGAGTAATATCCCCACGCCCATTTTTCCATGATTCACATACAGGAATCCATCAGGGAGTCGCTGCAGGTGCACCTGTGTATGAACCTTTCCCTTTCTTTACCCTCCCCCCAATTTTAAAACTTCTGTTGGTTGATATCAAAACTAAAACCAGACCAAACCAAACCAAAGCAAACTAAATTGAAAACTTCTTTCCTTACTCTTGATTATTTACATGCACACACATACACACATATACGTATATATATATATAATTTAACATATCGCAAAGCTCTGGAAAAATTAGAAAATCAGTAAAAATTTTATGCTCATAACTTTTACATATGTCTCTATCTTTTATAATTATCACAAATTAAAAACATATAAACATATAAATTTAATTTTCTTCCCAAATTTGATATTTTGATCATAAGGCTTTATTGTCATATGCTATATATCAATGGATTTGTAACTGCTCCTTCATTCTTGTACTGTTAGTCAAATTGTTTCTAATTTTGTTTTTTGTTTTGCTTATTTGCTGGTAAAAATACCATCTCATGCTATCCCTTCGTTCATAATTTCAGAACATTTCCTAATAAAATTTTTGTGGCTTTTGATAATACTTCCAAATAGTATTTCTGAAAGAAGTGATAGAATTTATAAAACTTTTGCCAGTTTTTGTAAGATTATTACTAAACCAACACTTATCATCTCAAATTTCTCATCTCATATTCATTCCCACTTTCAAGACTCAATATCTGGTTTCTCTTTCAAACTAACTCATGGAGCTACATTCACTAAGGTTTACATCGTACAAATGGCTGGATTGAACTATTTCTGTTTAGTTCTTATCCTATCTCATTTCTGCAGAATTTGTGTTGTATACTTCTTTCCTTGTTGGAATTAATTTCCCTTCACATCACCATCATTTTGGGAGGAAGGTATCCTTTAAATATGATGAGACAGATTTTCTTTCAACCTTCTTCCTTGCCATCCTCCTTCATTTCTATTTGCCTTCTAAACATAGCTGTATCTCTTGCACCCGTGATCTTACCTTAAACTTAACTGTTTATTTGTAAATAACTATCCAATTTTAATTCTAATCCATTTTTAACTATGAGCTACAGACTTACATTTCCTTCAATAACTGAACATCATCTGTAGACATCATAACTTTATATTCTCAGGCCTACATGTACTCATACTGTGAAAGAATCCTTCCAATCATCTAATCCTGATTAATCTCATCCATAATGATTTCCACATCCTTATCCCTCTTCTTGATCTCCCCATGGCTTTTTCTTTTTAAAAATAATCTTTATGGAGTATAATACCATGACTGAGATCCCTGTTTCTAGTCTGTACTGTTTGTAATACACCTTCTGTATCACTGAGTATGCTTTTATCACCACTTAGCACACCATTATTGATTTCCTACCAGAGTCATCTCTCAAATATTTTGAATGTATATACTTCCAACAGTAAACACCTGGAGATCCAATCTCATATATGTAGCAGAGAGGCACTTCAATAAGTTCATGGAAATACTGATTTGAAAGGTAAGCTTATCTTGGTACAAGAAATGTTGAAACTGATGCAGGACTTTAATAAAATGCACTTTAAATTGACTCATATTTATTTATAAATTTAATATAAAATGTTTCTATTTATATAACACATATTATAAAGGGCAAACATAAATAAGAATACGAATACACATCATAAACATATGTATATATTTTAAAATATTCTGAAGTGATGACTCATACACCATCTAAGTATCATAACTCTGGGTACAGTAGCTTTCTGAGAGCAAGACTCAAATTCTTTAATGTGAAACCCATTCAAAGAGCCCATGTAAAACTGAATTAAAATAAAAGGCAACAGTGGTACAAAATCTTTTGAAATCCATACCTATAAAGGATCTTTAAAGAGTTCATAAAAATACATATCATTAAAAAATTATAAATGGCTTTCAAAAATATGTGTACCCTAGTAAGTTTATTTTTAAATTTCCCTGAAATCATTGGGTCATACAATATGGTCCCAATCCATTTTCTCTGAAATGCCTTCTTTCCTTTTTACTATTCAAGATTTGGTTCAGAAGTTTCTCTTTTAGGAGACCATCCTGATCCCATTCTCTTTATTCGTACACCCACATATCACTGTGCTGTGATTAATGTCATTACTCTCTCCTCTCCTTCCCAAGAATTAAAGCATATCCCAGGGCAAGGTCTTTATATTTTTAGACATAAAAAAGTAAATGGTACAAAACCATTAATGTCTGACATATAATAATGATTAATCATTTACCTAACATATTATCAACTCAGAGAATAAGCTTTATAGGTTCCAACATATGTCACGAAAATACGAGCGTGTAGATCACTAAAAATGACATATGGTTAGATAACTGGGCCAAAACAAGAGGATCAAGAAAAGGGGCATTTCTCTGCATTAGAAGCAGGGAATCCAAGTAACTAAGGATTCTATTGACAACAAATTAGATGGTAGCTCCCATTTACTGAATAACTATTATTTATCAGGCACAAGCTGAACATATTATATAGAGACTTCATCTTGAAGGCTGTTGGTGGATACGCTTTTTGAAATGCAAGTATTCTCAGTCAGCCACGACAATTCTACTCCTCATTTAAGCTCTAGTTCTTTAGATGCACTTAACCATTCACACAGCAGCTGCAAAATCACTTTTTATTTTGAAATATCCTATTTTTGTGAATCTTAAAATTATGAAATGTTAGAACTGGAAAACAGTATAAGTTATTTTATCTAGCTCCTGCAGTTTAAAGATGAGGGATGGGAATTGGGAACATGGAAGTTAATTTACTAAAAGGCACTTAATTGAGAGTAAGAGTAGAGATTGGAATGTAAACATACTAAGATGTTATTCTATTTTTTTTTGTTCTACCCACTGCCTAGAAATAGAAATCAACTTTTCTCAAAGCTACTCAGCAATGTACAAGCAGTGGGTAGAACAAAGACTTTCAAGAGGTGTATTCTTTTGCATTTAAACTTACTAAATGTATCTTTTCAATAAGTGTTTCTTAAGAGTTAAATAGGAGGGGCCCGGCGCGGTGGCGCAAGTGGTTAAAGGTCCTCACCTTGCCGCCCGGGATCCCATATGGGCGCCGGTTCTAATCCCGGCAGCCCCGCTTCCCTTCCAGCTCCCTGCCTGTGGCCTGGGAAAGCAGCAGAGGACGGCCCAAAGCTTTGGGAACCTGCACCCGCGTGGGAGACCCGGAAGAGGCTCCTGGCTTCGGATCGGCATAGTATCGGCCCGTTGCGCTCACTTGGGGAGTGAATCATCGGACGGAAGATCTTCCTCTCTGTCTCTCCTCTCTGTATATCTGCCTTTCCAATGAAAAAATAATAAAAATAAATCTTTAAAAAAAAATAAAAAAAAAGAGTTAAATAGGAAACGGCTCCCCAAACTCATATATATGATTAAATCCCAAAGTTTTAACACTTAACGTAATAATAGTAATGGATTAAGGTATAGATATGATTTTAATTATGCCACTAGAAGTTCTAAGAATGATGGTGAGGGTACTATCCCTGAGAGATAGTTCTTGTGACAGGGTTAGTTACACAAGCCATGCCTATTACTTGTCCCTCTCTACTTCCTGGATTGCCATGTAATCATCCCTCCACCATTCTCTGGTCTCAATAGATGCTCAATGGGCTGGCCTGATCTTAGACTATGAACTTGTAAACTGTAATCCAGAACAAGTCCTCTTTCCTAAGAAGCTACTCTCAAGTATTTCAGTTAAAGTAGTAAAAAGCTAACAAATGTAATATTAAAAGACTGACTTTTTAAAAAATGTTGCAAGTTCCTAATAAGGAAAGTGTTAAAAATTAAGTCTTGAGGTGGTCATTTGGTACAGCAGTAAGGACATCATTAGGGATGTCCATATCCCATATGAATGTCTACCTTCAAGTCTCAACTCTTCTCCTGACTCCAGCTTCCTACTAATTCTTGTCCTGGTCCCTGCAACCCATGTGAGAGACTCAAATGGAGTTCCTGGTTCCTGGGTATGGCCTGACCCAGGGGGTGAACCAGTGGTGGGAGATCTTTGAGTCTATCTCTCTGCATTTCAAATAAATAAAAGAAAATAGGGAATATGGGCATAGCAGGCCAAGCTGCAGAACAGCCAGCAAATGCTAAGCCTGGGATCTGATCATGCCTTGCTGGGCCATAGCACCCATCAGTACATGCAATATCCAGGGTTGGAGATGGTCCTAGCGGGGGAACTTTAGGAGCTTCCCTATTAGGTCACAGCTCCTGCTGGTGAAGCATCATGCGCATGTGGGGAGGCTGGGCTGGGCAAGCTGCAGCATCATGGGTATGTGTAAGTGTTGGGGCTTCAGTGATCTGGGCTGGCTGGGCTGGGCTGGATAATAGCACCAGCTGACACATGCAAAAGTCAGAACAGAATGCAAGCCAGCTGGGCTGGGTTGCAGCACCCACCAATGCACATGAGAACCAAGGTAGGGCTAAGGCCATAGCACCTGCTGGCATACACAAAAGCCAGGAAAGAATCTGGGCTGGGATAGTCCAGACCACAGGTTCACATGAGAAGGGGGACTGAGGGACAGATTGGGCTGTGCTAGACTGCAGCATCTGCCAGCAAACACAAAAGCCTGGTGTGAGCTTCTGAGGGTGACTCCAACTATGCCACAATATCCAGTAGTGTGCATGTGAGCTTGGGGCAGGCTAGGTTAGGCTGTGCGATAGCACCGACTGGTTCACATGAGAGACAGAGCTGGGGGGCAGGACTGACCAGGCAGGTGCGCCTACTGAAATGTGAGATGGCTGGTACAGGAGATGGACTGAACATGACCCTGCACCAACTGGCACACACAAGAGTCAAGCCTGAGCACCTTCCAGGCAAGATTTCTTGGGGAATCCCCAACTAGACCACTGCACTCAAACCCCATTTTCAGGGGAAAACCACAAGGTATGTCGTCTATCATTGGAGGGCATGTACTAAGACTGGGTCTTCTCAGTTGCTGACTCCATCCAGTGGAGAGAATACCCAGATGTACATTTATGGCAACAGAGGCACTGAGTGCCTCATCAGAGGGTTGAAAGAATAGGTTGGACAACTGCCTTGACCAAACTTTGCAACAAGTGACTGGGTCTATGGATGTACTAAGGTGCATTTGGTCAGCCAATAGACCCTGGAAAGATTTTTCTCAACCATGGTGCAACAAAGCCTTATGTCTCAGAATTATCAAAACCACTCAAATAACGCCCTCAGAATATTCTTCTCCATATCAGGGTCTCTAAGGCATTATGAAATGACCATCCCTCCTCCTTGGGTGCTGATGTGGTTTGACAGCAAGAAGCAACCCCCTTCCCTCTCTTCTTGCTGAAGACAATGGAAGAAAAATAGAAAAGAAGAAAAAAAAAGGACTGAAACATTGGTCCTACCCATCTTCCTCCACAATTCGACCCTCCGTACTCCTAATCAGAGGTCCACATGGGTTTGCATCCCTCTCAACTATGTAATCAACATTAAAAACTTTAAATTGTTTTAAAATTTAAAAATTAAAACATAATAGAAGATGCTTAACTCTTAAGAAAATGCTAAACTAAAGATATTAGTGCAGAATCATTTTATTTCAAAGAAATACTCAGTACCTGAATATGCTCTTTTGTGATCAGCCAGGGTCGGTGTGCTAGCAGCTTATTTATTTCATTAAGATTTCTCAGTCTTTGTGGTACATATTCCAAACCATTCAACCATTCAGCAATACCTCCAGTCTTTAAGAATTCATCCACATGCATATTTATTAAGTAAGAACACTGATGTCTGGCTGCAGCCTAAAGTACAAAGAAAAGAATTTATTTATAAGACAATCATGGTAGAGTTTCATTCCACTATTTCTAATTTAGATGACACCAACAATTTTTATGGCCAGGATTTTTCTTACAGAATCCTTCCTTTAAAACCACCCCTCACACTGTTGCAATATATTCTCGGATCAATAGTTGAAGCTGATCTGTACCTGCGTAAGTGAGTGATTATCACAGGAAGACAATTATTTCTTCCTCCAGAAGTCAGAATTGATTAGCCTATACCCTTATTTCTACCTGTATTAAACAGAATCATGCCAATCTCACTAGGTCTATATATTGACTGTATTTCTACTTAAACATAACAAAATCTTGTAATTCATATTTTAACAATTCAGACTTCATGCTAATTTTAATAGCTTCTCTTCTAACCACTGCCAGTCAAGCCTGCGCATGTGACTCTGAAGTGCACTGACATACTCCTTCCATCTTGTACAAATCAGCCTCCCTCTGACAATTCAGTAAATCCACATTTCTTGATAAAAGAGTGTTATTTGTTCTCGCTGTTTTCTACCTCTTATTTCCCTCCTAGCTTTTGGGCATTCTAAAACTGCTTTCATACCTATTGTCATCAAAACCTTAAGTTAACGAGTCAAATGATTATTTTGTTGTTAAAAAGATATTCAAATCAGTCATGGTAAACACTGATTTGCTGACTTCTGGCCAGCTCTTCAAGCATGAATACACAACACTTGAATCATGGCCCTTGTTCTCTCCAGGACAGTCCTGTAGCACTGTTCCTTTCCACCACTGTCACTCCTACTGCTGCTATTCTAATTTATAACTCTCCTCCTTGCCCCCCACTGCTTGAGAAAAATCAATGTGCTCATTAGTTTGCAACACAAGGTACATTTAGAAGTGTTAAGATTAATCAAATATGTCTTCACTTATTCAGATTCTAAATTACTGCCGTTACCTTCTTCTTATTTAGCCAAACTAGTGTTAATCTTCATGTATCCAATGACTAAGGAGAAGATTACATAAAAACAGGACATAAGTAACAAAAATTGGCTTGTAAGATTTTTTATAGGACTCTACAAACATTTTTAATCATAATAAGTTAAACACAGAATATGATTTTTTTCTGAAAATTACATGAGAAACATTCCATGTATAAAGAATTCCAAATACATCCCAAAGGTCACAGACATCATCAATTCTATGCTCACAAAATTATACTTAGTTACACACACACACACACACAAAGACATATGGGGATAAGACATAAAATCAAAGATGAGGGAGAGGTTATGTCAAAATAGGAACAGAAGCACCAACCATTATTGCGATGTAGTGCCTATATGGTAGAGGAAGAGGGCCATCCATGCGCAACATGTAAAACTGGCTTCGCAAGAAAGACTCCAGGTACTGAGTGTGTAAACTCATGACCTGTGTGATGTTGTCCAGACGACCAGATGTGGAGTATTCTTCCACAAGAAAGTTAGTACGCTCATCCACTGTGTTTGCTTGGACAACCTTGTAGCAAGAAATACGGAACAAAATAACTATTGAGATATGAACATGTCTTGGTTTATAATAAATTTTACTATTATTGAAGAAAATGAATATTCATTTGATATTAACAGCCACTAAAATTATGCAGTTCCTCATACTAGACTCAGTGAAAAGAAAGCACCATTCATTTCTGGCTCCAGTACCACAATTTATTAAACAACAAATGTTAAATTATTGAACATCAAATACACAGCCATGAAACTGAAGAAAATAAGCTTCCATCTGTTTTATCAGGCACATTAAGCAAATTTTCCGGGACCATGTGCTGGCCATTATCACACCAATTTGTGGTGAGGCAAAAGCAACAGCATTTGATTACATACATTTACATCTTCTCATCAGCTTGTGGAGATAATTAATCACATTATTTTTAGACAAATATTTTCTGTCCTATCCTTTGCCTGCTTTTGTATGCAACATTTTTAAAAAGCTTTTTGAGGTCCTTCTAGGGAAACAGGAATATATTATAATATGTGTGAAAGTGTTAATTGAAAAATTAATAAAGACTCTAAAAGACTGTCACTCTTATTTTAAGCTGATCATAGTAATTATGAAAACTGAAGTAAGGTATTAAAGTAGACATCCTCCATCCTAAGGGATCAAAACACCTTTCTCAAAAACAAATTATTTATTTACAAGTATAGCTTCATACAAAATGATAGGTAGAACATCATGCCAAAAACTGGATCTAAAGGTATTAAGAACTTATTAACATGTGGCAGAAGGACCTAACTCTATGGGAACTGATGCATGACGCAAGATGCGGAATGCTGGTATTGCTTCACATTTATTTGGATTTTAGAATTACAGTTCTAGACCTAAGAAAAATAAGCCTCTTATTTTAGAGATAAAGAAACAGATTCAGGAATAAATTCAAGCTCATGCATCTAGTTAACACCATCACTGGATCATAGTCTTTTCTGAAAAATAAATACAACTTATGCAAAGGCACTATTGACTGAGGGAAATTTAATCCCAAAGGAAATGTTTGAAAAGTATAAACTAGGAAGAAACGTTAATTACAAAGGTGTAAAAAATAGGCAGTTTCACTTGAGCTTACTATGGAAACAAGTATACATTCATTTGACCATTTCCCCCATTTTGCCAACTACAAGGACCAAAATGATAATTTAAAATACAATACAATTCAGATGAACCACATGTAATTATGGATAAAATACTATTGTTGTTATTTTTTGCTTTGTTTTCCCCAGCAGTTCTTTGTGTCTAATTGATGCCTAAGATAGATTAAATTGATGCAACAGATTCTGAAAATCTGATTATCCTCAAATACATACTGTGAACATGACTCTACTTCAGCAAGTACCTAAACATGCAGGTTATCACTGTTACAGGTAGCCCAAGTGTTCTACAAGGGAGAGTTTTTACAAGTTCAGGAGTTTCTCTAGGCATAGTCATCACCTACATGAGCTGTTGTCACAGAGCTCATAAAAGAATACTGTAACTTTGAATTTTTATTCAGTCGGAAGGTCACTAAAAAAGTGATAGGAATATGAAAGAAGTGTTGTTGCTGGCAATAATGTAGTACTACCATAACTGCACCAGTACCATAAGACAATGCCTGGCACATAACAAGCTTCCTGCAAATATCCACTCACAAATTCCAGAACAATACAAGAATAATCCTGAGGCTTTAAGGTAAATGACATCTTTGCAGTAAATAGTAAATCAGCATGTATGATTGTATTTAGTGTGAGCTTATAATTCCTTGAAGCAGAGAAAAGACCTACTTGCTGGTTCTTAAATTTTCTTAACACAAGGGTACCCAGAAATCTAAAGCATCCAGAAATCTAAGAATGTCCTTGACCTTGTTATCATCTTTCATATAGATGTATACCCACAAAACAAGACCAAGTCTTGTTACTAATTACTATCTTCTGTATCATTTGATAATCTCTTGCATAGATCACCCTGACTCTACCCTTCCAAAAGCACAGAACTGCATGATGATTCTGAGACATCCTATCCAAGCACCTAGTCAAAGAGGAATAGCTGCTACTAATGGCACATCACATTTCATATTATGGGCTTGGTTGGCAAACTCACTTCATTTTAAAATATCTTCTAAACATCTGTGTATCCTGTTATCATCATAAAATGATGGACTTTCTGACATTCAAAAGCTTTGGGCTAATACTAAATGCTATTACTCTTGGCTGCTTTAAAATAATGTTACATCTAAAAATATTGTTAAATCTGTTTTTCTTTGAACTCTACCTAACACTCTGATTTCTAAGTGAAACTGAAAAGAAAAAATCTACCATGGTGGTCTAACATATGAATAAGAAACTGAAGAGCAAAATACTTTTGTGGGAGTTAGGACAAGATGGAAGCCGAGTTAAGACACTCTGAGGATCACCACTCCGCAGAAATACCCCCTCGGAACAGCTATTCATGTGCCAAGTCACCTTCATAACAGCTTTGCAAGTCAGGGGAGAGACAACAGTGCATGTTTTAAGTGTAATAATTAGAAAAGTTCCACAGAAGAAAGCAGGAAGAAGAGCTGCACGTATTCCAACTCTTCTCCCAGTTCCAAGGATACACTCTTGCTTGGGTAAAGAAAGGGAATTTGGTCCAGTACTTAAGACTTAAATCTCAGTACCAGGCCTTGTTTTGATAGCATTCAGAATAAAAAGGGGCACCATGACCCATTTCTCCAGGTTTGTGCCTGTGTTACTTCTGTCATTCCCTCAACCTCTGGCAAAAGTATAGCAAGATTCCAACTGCTGCAGCTGCCTTGGAACTCAGAACCAGGCCTTAGTCATTGTTAAAGCCCAGACCACTGCTCATGGATGGAAACTGTAGACCTGCTCTGGCATCAACACAAAACTTGGATTTTGCTGAGATGTGTTCCTTTGGTATATGCAACTGTCGGCCTCAGACAGGCCTTGCTCACACTGTCAAGACTTCATTGGATCAGGTGACCATGAGATCCAGTTCGCCAGTCCAGGGGGTGGAGAGTGTTAAACGACTGCCATTGTCTTCCCATTTCCAATCTTTGATAGGCAGCAATGGGACTGAGCAGTAGAGTGGTAAAGCTCAGTACTGGGGAGATTGGAATTGTCCCTTGCCCATAGGCCAATCCTAGAATTGTTCCAGTAAAAGATAGGGACTTCCATCCTGGAGTAGGACTTGATTTGGTATAAATCATTGCATCATTTGGTATAAATCATCACCCCTGTCTCTCACATGGGTGATACCAACCGAGTGTCTGAAGTTTGGTTCCAGCCTGACTCAGCCCTTGCCACTGAGACCCTCTGGAAAGCAAGTCAGCAGGTGAAGACCTCTCTCTCAACCTACCTTTCAAATAAGATCAATCTTAAGGAAGCAGTTAACAAAATGTTTTAAATGCAAAAGCAAGTTGTTCAGATTGAAAGAAAGGGATCTCAAAGTGTAAGAATGTATTGACAGGGCCTGGCAGCGTGGCCTAGCAGCTAAAGTCCTCGCCTTGAACGTGCCCCGGGATCCCATATGGGCGCTGGTTCTAATCCCAGCAGCTTCAATTCCCATCCAGCTCCCTGCTTGTGGCCTGGGAAAGCAGTCAAGGACGGCCCAAAGCTTTGGGACCCTGCATCTGCATGTGGGAGACCTGGAAGAAGTTCCTGGATCCTGGCTTCGGATCGGCATAGCATTGGCTGTTGCGCTCACTTGAGGAGTGAATCCTCGGACGGAATATCTTCCTCTCTGTCTCTCCTTCTCTCTGTATATCTGACTTTCCAATAAAAATTAAAAAAAAAGAATGTATTGACAGGCAAAAAACTCAATGATAGGTATACAAATTCTCAATGCACTAATATTGTAGACATGGTAAGTAAATGAATCATCTCTTTAGTATGAACTTGGAAAAGGAAAACAAAAAAAAAGGCAGTAACTACTGCAGTCAACATTGTGGTGCAGTAGGTAAAGCTGTTGCCTGTGATGCCAACATCATATGAGTGCATTTGTGCCCTGGTTGCTCCCAGTGTGATCCAAATTCTTCATATTGGCCTTGGGTAAGCAAGGAAGGTTGATCCAAGTCTATCGTGTGTGTGTGTGTGTGTGTCTTCCTCTGTATAACTCTGACCTCCAAAATAAATAAGTAAATATTTTTTGAAGAATAACAATATGAAATAAAAATGTACAAAATGTGAGAAAGGATGGAATGTAGAGTTCTTTACTAGTACACACTTACTTTTCTATTTGAATAATCAAAATTAAGTTTTTATTATTGCAATTAGTAGGTAGTGATCAAAGGAAGTCTTTTTTGCAAGCCTTTTGGAAAACACAGAACCAAAAATATGTAAAAGCTCACCTAAAATAGTAAGTGAAGTATCAAAATACATTACTATAAAAAATCATCAAACCACAGAGTATAAAAAAAAAAAAGACCTACAACAAAATTAGAAAACAAGTATGGAAAACCTTACTATCAATAATTATCTTAAATGTAAATGAATGAATTTCTCTAATTAAAATTTAAAAACAGAGTGGCCAATGATATGGCTACTGGTTGGATGGCAGTGTGGAGGTTTGCCAAGCTAATCCTCCAGCTGCAGCATTAGTATGCCATTGGACACCAGTTCGAGTCCTGGTTGCTCCACATATAATCTAGCTTCCTGCTTATAACCTAGGAAAGCAGCGAGGATGGTCCAAGTGCTTGGGCCCCTGCACCTACATGGAAGACGTGAAGAAGCTCCTGGTTCCAGGCTCCTGGTTTAGGATCGGTTCAACCCTAGCCGTTACAGTCATTTTGGGAGTGGACTAGTGGATGGAATATCTTTCACTCTTGCTCTCTGGCTCTCTCTCTCCCCCTCTTTCTCTGTAAAGCTGCCTTTTAGACAAAAATATTTTTTAAAAGAAAGCTTAATTTAAAAAGAGAGAAAGAGGGAAAGCACAGGACCAATTAGCTTCACTGCTGAACTCTATCAAATTTTTAAAGAAAAATTAACACCCCTTTTTAATAAGCTACTTTAAGAAACAGGACAGAAATCCAATGCATTTTATGAGAGCAGCATTACGTACATAATAAAACCAGTCAGCTCTTCGGTATAGACAGACCGCAGTGAGGTTATGGAACTCTATATCACAGCAGACTATAAATGAAGTTAATATACTACATATTTCTCTATGCTAAATAGGAGGTAGAATTATGAATGTTTATATCACAAAGAAATGTTAAATAAGGAAACAGACATATTTACCCTGACTTGACAGTATTAACAATGCATACTTGAATCAAAGCATTATTTGGCATGTTAAAATAAGTACAATTGTTTTTTGTATCTGCTACAAAAGCTTAGAAAAATATTTAAAATACAAAAAGCTAACTTAAAGAAAAAATTATTTCATACTCTTTGATATAATTAAATGATTTTTTCATCACACTTTATACATTTTAAGACAGGTAAACTTACTTCCTTTTCTGGAATAAAGGCACTTGGTCCTCTTGTCAAAGGTTGAGATACTCTGATTCTTTTATCCTGTTTTTAAAAGAAAAGTTCATATGTGTTAATAACTACTTTCTAATAAATGTTAAATTAGCACACATTTATTGCTAAGATACAAAATAAACAGAGTCAGGTCAGTGAACAGAATTATGTGAAAACAAATTTCTGGGTCTTAGAACAAAGGAAACTCAAAGGGCCACTAAATGGATGAGATAATGGTACAACACTTGCCTTAGTCCTGGGTACCTGGCTGGCTCCTCAAATGACATTTCCCTTACTCAGATTCTACATCAACATAGATGTTTAGTGTGTATTTGGCATGACTGAAAACTATTAACTCCAATAATAGCATATCAAAGGTATACCAGTAGCACACTCTTAGACACCAATTTGAAAACTAAACGGAAGGTTCAATTGAAAGAGGACTGAGTGCAAAATCTCCAAGTAAGGTTCAATTGAAAGAGGACTGAGTGCAAAATCTCCAAGTAAGGTTCAATTGAAAGAGGACTGAGTGCAAAATCTCCAAATAATTATTTGCTTGTCTCTTTTAAAAGTAAAATAGCAAAAAGCATATTAACATAGAGCTTTGAGGCTAATGAAAATACAATACTTAGAGAAGTAGAGGTTAATTTAATAGAGAATATAAGAAGTCTTATTTTACTTTCTACTCTATTAATATTAATAACTGGAAGACTGATAAATTGTATGTATATCTTTTAAGTGTTTTTATATTTTTGTAGTGTTTCTGGAATTGAAAAATATTGTTGGTGAACTCAATGAAGTATGATTACATACAAGTCACAAAAATTCCAGTAAAGGAGCAGTGCTTCTTTTCCTATGCATATAGAGGAACAAGCACAGTCAGAAGGTGGCTCTCACGTTTCAAACTCCTTCTTGGCCAGAAGTAGGGGATATGGTTACCTAATTTTCTATGACAAAGTAATACTCTAAAGTTCAGAAATAGAAGACCTTCAAGTTGTAACATAAAAACATGGACCATGTCATGGTTTATTAAAGGTTATAAAGACTGGGACATGAGTGATGTCACAATGAGCTAAGTCGGCACTTTCAAGGCCCGCATCTCATGCTGACTGCGTGTTGATATCCTGGTTACTTCACCTCCCATCCTGTGTCCTTCTAATGTTCTTGGTAACAGCAGATTATAGTCAAGCACGTGGGTTCCGGCTTATGTGGGAGACCTGGATAGAGCTCCTGGCTCCTGGCTTCAGCTTGGCCCAGCTCCAGTGGTTGTTGACATTTAGGGAGTAAATCAGTGACCTGAAGATCTTTCTCTCCCCACCCCTCAACTCACCTATTTTCATCTTTGTCTTTGCAATAATATATATATATACATGTATATATATATATATATATTTTTTTTTTAGAAAAAAAGAAGAAGCTATCAAGATTGAGTTGGAAAAACTGCAGTGTATGGGAACATGTGGTTACTGGAAAAGCACATGACAAACTTTAGGTACTACTAAGACCACCTCAAAAAAACCTTAAGTTGAGGAAATAACTCTAAAGGATGCATTAAAAATGTTCATTGGAAACAGATTATGAAAAAAAAAACTATATAGATTTCAAAATTTTTGCACCAAAGCAAAATTGATCCAATTCTCCAGAAACTGAGATATGTTTATAGATGGTTCTTCATCTGAGAATGCCATAATCTATTTCACATGAGTTTATTTTCTGGCCATAGCTGGCTAGACCAAGATTGCAACTAGTCAAAACGGAAGCTGATCTATACAGTCTGTTGGTGCCTTGATGTAAATGTTTCACCCAAACAGAGGGAAATAATAATAATTACCTGGATTACTTTCAACATGTTTGAGTGCTCAGGATAAGAGAAAAAACTACACATGTAATTTTGTGATACTGTGGCAACCATGCATTCTTACGTTTAATTAGGTGACTCCCCTGCAACCTTTCCCTTTCTGCCCATTTCATTCTTCCTCAGCAAATAACTCAGTGTGTTTTTCTTTTAGCTGATTCAGCACAAAATAGTTCAATCATTTACATTCTCTACTTCATTAGGAAGCAAGTGTAATGCAAACTGGCAAAAGGAGGCACTCAGACATTTAACAATGAGGTTTTATAAGAGCCTAATCAGATACTGTGATACAGACACTGAGGATGTGGGGTGAGGAAAACAGATATAACCCTTGACCTCATGAACTTAGCACACAATGTTAATCAATTTTCAGATCTTATCAAAATAAATATATTACATAATGCTATCTTCAAACTGCTAGGGTTTCAGAAAGACGTAGACAACAAGGTTTTATGGATAAAGTGAAGACAAGCAGGTCCCTATCTCCCAGTTAAGTACTTTAGAGGGCTGTTTATAAAAAGCATCAATTCAAAATTTCTAATATTAATATTTCTTGTCTATATCAGCCTAGATTTAAACATAAATATCTTTAAAATAGATTTCTTCCTTTTGTCCTCAGTCTCTGTGAAATTAAAATTTCTAATATTTTCTATAACAATGTTCTATAACATTAACATAATAACTATTGCATGAAAAGCAATTTCATGGCTAACTCACCATTTCAAAGGAATAAAAGCAGTTGGAGAAGCTGACTGTGAGGAAAAATACGTCAACAGAGAGGAAGATTCACAGGAAAAAAAAAAAGAGTTTCTTGGTGCAGCCAGTTAACCTGCCACTTGCAATGTTCATATTCAGTATCAGAGTGCATGGTTCAAGGTGGTCCTGGCTACTTCTGACCCAGCTTCTTGCTAATGGACCTGGGAAGGAGGCAGTTGATGGTTCAAAGACTTGGGTTCCTGCTACCCAGGTGGGAGACCCAGATGGACTTTGCATCTCCTGGTTCTAACCAAGCCCTGACCGTTGCAGCCATTTGGGGAGTGGACCAGAGAGAGTGGACCAGAGAATGGGAGATCTTTTTTTTCTTCTAAGTCTTTTTGCCTTTCAAATAAAGCAAATTAAATTTCTGGCAATCATGAATTATATTTAACAACTGAACTTAGCTGTACCACAACTGTAATAAAGTGAGCACTGGATATAGAATCAAGGTACTCCAATTTGAGACACAGGTGTCTTAATCACTAGGTTAAATGGCCTTCCCTGAATTTACCTTTGTGTGTTTTAAACTGTCATTTTGCCAACTAATATATTTTCTGGAGAAGGAAAGGCTTAAACATGAAATTTACATTAACTATAAACAAATATTAAGCTATTATACTTAAATATCAAATGTCAGTTTTTAGCCAATTGATGAGAAGTAAGTAATTCAATTCCATTTGTATCAACATTTATTTCATTTATTCAGCAAATGTCAATTGTTTATAATGTATACTAGTCACAGTAAGGACAAAAAGGTTAGACTGGCAAAAACAATGATTTATGGCAGACACATACACAAAGTGATGTAGGAGCCATCATATTAGTAATGGTTATGGTTACTCAGTTACTCCCATATTGGTTAACACCCAAGCTACAAACAATTTTAATCATTATAAATAGTCCGATGAACATCATCAGAAATAAGAGATTTGGGGCACAATTTGTAGGGCTTAACATCTTTAGGCAGATTCCCAGAAGTAGATTTACCAGGTTTTTGTGTGATAATAACTTTAATTTCTTGTTGCATACCGCCAAGAAGCTGACAAAAAATGTTTTTACTAATTCCATTTTCATCAGCTGAGAAAATGTCCATTTCAGCCAGAAACTTCAAAAGTGAAAAACAGCACCCAAAAACATTGTGTGAAACTTTTTCTTGTCTGCTTATTTGCAAGGCCTCAAACAAAATGTGAATTAAATCTGTGTTTTTAACAATGTATTTCTGGGAGTGATATAACTCAACGGCTTCAGAAAGGGGAGCTATGCTAATAGCTCAGGAGAGAGATGAATATTCTAATCTACAAGATCTGTTTATATGCTGAACAGATGGGAAAACTAAGGCAATTCTCATGTTTTACGCCACGCATTTTTTCTCATTATATTTTAAAAATGGAATCACATTTGAAATGATCAACCTAGCGGCTGCTGCTTCTGTAACAGTGGCATCTCTTATGGTGAGGATTATGTTACTGTGTCAGTTGGCTGCTTTGTGTACTTACATAAAGGTTAAAAAAACACTTAAAAATTGTCAAAGCAGATCATAAATCCTATTTTAACTTCATTTTACTTGGGAAAATGGTTTCTGCCCATTTTCTATCTGTATGTTTTTAAAATTGATAAGATAAAACACAAAATAAATAGGATAGTATTATACACAAAATATTCGTTTTAAAACCAGAAACTGAAGGTCTGGTCAAATTGCAGTACTTTTCATTATTTTCTTTCAAATCCAAAATTAGAAAAAAAAAAACAAAACTGGGTTCCTACTTCATTCATACCCTGATAAATTTTTCTGAAGCTTCTAGACCTGTGTTACCCCATATGCCAGTCACCAGCATCCTACATGTGACCAAATTAAATAAAGTGAAAGACAGTGACTTCTCTGCTTCAATAGCCATGATTCAGATACTCAACAACCACAACATGGGTCTTGGTAACAGCAGAGACGTCCATTAGACAGAGTCTTTTATTCTTTGGGTTTCTTTGGAAAAATCCCATCTTTGGGCTATGCTTCTTTGTAATGCTCAGTGACTGCTCTGTAGAGTCACCAGTTTGATGGTTATAGGTATGCAGTACTGGAACCAGACATTTTTGTGTAATCACAGAAATGATATCAACCAAATCATGAGTAAACTGAGACTGAGGCAACCAGGAAAGAACAGAAAGAAGAATTAGCCAGTTTGAAAGATCCTTTTCTTAGTTTTTGCTCACATCACAGTCTCCAGAAAGCAGTAACGGTTTCACTCATCTCCTCAATCCTTTATTGTAGTTCGAAAACACCACCAAAAACTTACAAGGAATGAGTGCATGATGCAATATTGCTAACTACATATTTTAAAGCACATCTCTAGGATTTTTTCATCTTGTATAATTGAAACTTTATACACCCTGAACAGCAACCCCTAGTCCTGCAAATCATGATCCTACTTCCGCTTGTTATGAA